TAAATCTGCCTTTTTTCAGTTTGAAGCCATTCCTCCCTGTCCTTCACTGCATGCTTTTGTAAATTTTATCTATCCTAGATGCAAAAAACTCCATCTTAGATTCCATTTTTTTTAATCCAGTGTTACCTGAAACTAAATTCAATCTTGTGACCTCTGAGTTGGTACAAAAACTTTTGAGGAGCACCTCGATTTTTGCAGTCATAAAAAAAAAAGAAGTTCACAACCTGCATTCACTCTTTTGAAGTAGCATCCAACACAAATGCATACATATTTTTCATTATGCCAGTTTTTCATAACATCCTAAATTCTCAGAAACCTCTCATCATCGATTTTCTTGGAAGTCCAGAGATGCTCTTTTCCACTTGGAGTAAATGAAATCTGCATAGTTTTCCCCTTCAGTGCTTGCAGATTTTGTCTGTGTCCAAAAAAAAAACGCAACTCTTTTTCAATAAAGCCTCTAGACAAATTAATGAGGCAAGTGCCAGCAGCCTCTTGTCCCCGTCCCTGGCACACACAGTTCGTCCAAAACACCCTCAGAACCTTTCAGCAGCAAAACAAAAAACATAGAGAACTGTAAACTTTGTGTCTAAATTGTTTCTCTTGCTCAGGTTCACTGCAATAATTTGTGTGCAGGGTGTTGGCTCGGAAAGAGGGGAGGACAAGGGAGCTGGTGGAGGGTCTGATGAAGAGCAGCTGAGGGGGCTCAGCTCGAGAAAAGGAGGCTCAGGGGGGGACCTTCTCAGGAAGGGACCTATAAGGATAATCAAGTCCAACTCTGGCCAACTCTTGGCAACAACTCTTGTTAGGAACAGACTCTTATATTCTGAGTGTTTTTAAGAAGTTGATTTTGATCTTTAAACCCAGTTTTAGTCGTCTAGAAGTTCTGAAGCTAAACAGACTGAGATGCTCAGATATTGTGGTAACTGGACTGACTGGTACAACATAAACCTATCAGAAGCCAGTAGAATTTTCCTCTTTATTCCTCTTTTTCTTCAGTTCATGCAGGTTTGTCATGACACATGATTCTGTTTCCTGTGACTCTATCAAAGTGCTGCCTTAAGTAACATTTCTGCCATTTGCTCAGATTCCAGTAACTGCCATTAATGCTGTGCTTGTACCCAAACAAAGCGATTTTCACACCAAACAGATTGAGAAATAGGCTCTTAACATTTAATAAATTTCAGTGCAGTGTGGATGTGCACTTCAAAAACACAGGCAGTAAATTAATTGCACAATTGCCTTTCCTCAAGAAAGGCTGGGTTTAATTGTAGCTTCTCCTTATTCTGAGAACATTAAAACCTAGCACAGCTATGCAAAGTCTGCATCCAATTCCAGTCCTGAAAGGGAAGGAATTTTGCAGCCTCAAGGAAGGAATTTTATCAGCCTCAACGGCTGATAAAAACAACATCATCTCTGCTCCTACAGGAGTTCCTTTATGTCCTGTTATTCTCCTTCCTTCTCGAAATTACTTCCAGCCCTTACTTGTGACTTCCAGACACAGAAAGCACATGCAGGATCTGGCTAGTAAACGCTCATGTCCCGCTGACAAAACTCAGTACAGTGACACACTGAGCCTAAGAAAAGTCCCCAAACCAGTAGTCTAACCAAGTTATGCAGGATTTTTTTTATATGGCTACCTAGAGAGTAGAACATCTCTACAGACATTCCTTCACACCTGGGCAGACCCACAATGGTGTTTCCTCTGCCTTCCACCAAAAGCAGCAGCTTTAGATCCACAGCAAAAAGAAATACATTAATTGTGAAGGGCCAAGCCTGCCTTTGAGAAAAGCTGAAGTAATTCATTCTCCCGGACATGAAGCACTCATCAAAGAATCTTATGAAGGACATGTGTTTTTTGAAGGCAATCCATAATTTCTGAACTCTGCTACAGACAGTTATTGGCAGTTTTTAAGCACCCAGTGGCACTTGTATCAAATATGGAACAGTAGAGATGCAGCTGAGATCACAGCATTATTAAAGCTTTAAAGTAATGGATTTTCTTGTGTTTTTCCCTGTGTCATCATTCAGAGCAGGCCTGGCACTGTGGAGGGATAAGTAACCTGATAAAGATTATTACATGCATTTAAAGAACCCAACTCTGCCATAATTGGGAAACCTCAAGTATTGAAAACCTTCTGAGATAGCAAGTCATCAGCCTATCTACGGCAGAGACAGGAATATCAGGAATATCTCGCTGAAGAGATAATAACAAGGCTTCAGTGATATTTATAAAGATTTCAGGCTGCTCCTCACAGGCTATTTTCCTCTTTCTGAGCAAAATCTGGTACCTCATGGGGATGGAGAGGCATTACCTTCATCACCACTTCCAGTAGGGATGCCTGTCTGAGAGCAGCTGAGCTTTTACTATATGATGCAAATTTGTTTTCTGGGCAATATGATCATAAACCCAGGATGCTCTGAAAATTCACTGAATTTGCTACTTTTTTTCTATGCTGTGCAAAGGTGAGGCTGGAACGGAGCAGGAAATTTCGCCCTTTAAAAGCTTTACGACACTTCAAAAAAACCCCACATTTTCACGCTACATTAAGCCCAGCCCAAAGTGCTTTCACAGTTTTGAAATAGATGGCGCTGCAATATTTGGAGAGTTTGGACTTATGTTTCACCTCAGAGAAGTAGTTACGGGGTTGCCACGGTTTAGTCAGTCAAGTGGAAGTTGCGCATTGCAAACACGCGGCTGCAGGAAACATTTCACTCACAAATTAAGCTGTTTGTGGGTGTCTACGTGTGGACAGAGCGTGTAGGCATGAAGTGGAGCTTCTGTCAGTGAAGACTAAAGTTCAGGTGAGCAGATGGAGGTGTCTATTGTAGGCCAAGCTGATGACAAAAAGCTTGTATCTACTTGAATTTGTGATATAGAGAGGCGTTTGGTAAGCCCCATTGTATCCCACTTGGCTTCCCACTTCCCAGCCAGATGTGAATCTTCTCTAGATCCTGTGTCACCTGGTAAGACCCGTGTGGATGTCTCAGTCTACAGCCTCTCAAACTCACTTGATAGCTGTGTTTAGGGAAATAAATCAAGACCACCTACATCACCCAAGTTGGGTGTCTTAACCTTGGCCTGACTCCCACAGAAATGCCCATTCCCACAGCAACAGTAGAGTGATACAGCTGGAAAATCAGGTATGGAATCACTCCAGATCTGCCAGAAGATTATTATCAAGGCACAGAAGTACATGAGGCGAATCATCCTGCCTTTGACAAGCTTGATTATGTCTGAACTCATTACAGGAGTTACAGGAGATGGGAAGTTGGCTCATGGCTTTGGACAGACAACTTCAGCCTGCTGCAGTGAAGGGGATATTTCTCCCACTAAAGGCAGCTGAAAGAATGTCAGAACAGCCAAAAAACCCTGAAAACCTGGTATGAACAGCCAACTGGTCCTAGTCCAAGTGCACAAAATGGAAGTGTACTGGATTGATAGAAAGTCCTGATGGATTGCAAAATCATAGCCTGGTTTCCAGCCCCTCATGTTCCCTGTGACACCAGTGGGAAAAAAAAAAAGACTTAAAAAGGGCCTGCTGTCTACATGGAAGATTCTCCTTCTGCATTTACAGTGTAAACCTGATGAATGTGACAAGTAGAACTGTGGAGACTTCTGGTGCCTTAAACCTCACCAGGCTGTGCAGCACAGCAGCTCACAAAAATATAAGTGCAGTCACAAGCAACCCAGGTGTATGGCAAGGTTTGGGGAATCTTAGAATATTCTGAGTTGGAAGGGACCCACAAGGATCATCCAGTCCAATCCCTGGCCCTGCACTGGACATCCCAATAATCCCACCATGTGCCTGAGAGCATTGCCAAAACCTCCTTGAGCTCTGGCAGCCTTGGGGCTGTGCCCACTGCCCTGGGGTGCCTGTTCAGTGCCAACCACCCTCTGGGGGAAGAACCTTTTCCAAATGTCCAACCTAAACCTCCCCTGACACAGCTTGTGGTAACTGTAGTTCTACTGTTAAGGTGCCTGCACTTTTGGGGGGAAGATTTAAACCCTCTATTTGAAATGGAGTGGTTGGAATTTCTGGAAGGAAAGTTGGGAAGAGAACTGAGAACATTCTGCTGCCAGTATATGAAAGCAGCACCTAATCTGAGAAAGCTGTGCTACTTCTTGTTAACACCACTTCAGAATTAGTGAAGAAGAGGGGAAATCACTAAACCAAACTAAAATAAAATAAAATACTGGTGCTTCGTTGTCTGAAGTACAGAAAACATTGCAGGATAAGAAGCCAAGCCCATTCTTTCTCATAGCCCACAATGATATTAAGAACCAGCACATCCAAAATATATACCAATGCAGCAGGAATAACAAAGACATGGAAATAATTTATGCGAAGACACAAATTTTAACTGGAGAAAAGGGGACACACTTAAATGCAGATACATGAGACACTGGCAGTGCAAGTAGGGGTAAAAAAAAAAAAAATCTCTTACACTTTGGGGTGGAAGTCAAACACTGAGGGATATTAATGAAACATTTCTTGCTTGACTGGCTGCACCTAAAATTAATTCTGAGGAACACCACCAATCTGCCCCCAACCCTCTTTTCTGAATGCAACAGGCATTGATCACTCAGAGACAGAAATCCACACAGAAAAATTAACACTCAGCTCAGCATGGCAATCCTATTTTAAAAACAGGTCACCTGCAGCATATCCTTAGCAAGAGCCCAGCTCAGAAATAATTAAGTATGCCCAGAAATCGTATTTTTAATTAACGAGAAACTTCAAAGAAGTCTTAAAATGAAGAACAAAAATTTTATAATCTGAGAAGGCTTCTTTTCCTCTGCCCTGACTTCTCAGGTAATAACCCAAATTCGATAAAGCTTTGAGAACAAAGGACACCTACAAAGAGGGCTGGGAAATGCAGGTGCACAATTGCAGTCTTCTACGAGAGGCTGATGGAACTGTGACCCCATGTAAAAACATCTCACGTTTCTGTAATCAGGCATTCAAGTACGTTCTGCCTCCCAAGAATTAATTACTTACCTCACCATTCAAGAAGCAGTAAAATACTGACACAAAGAAACCCTGGAAAGAACAGAAAGCAGTCAGTCATTAGGTAAATATTTTAACACTTGCACTGACAGAGGGGATTGCCACTAAAGCATCCACCTGCCTCCCAGAACAGCCCAGACCCCTCACAGGTGCTGTGTCGTGTCTGACAGCTCTGGGTGGGTGTCTCAGGCACTCACAGGGGGAGTCAAATGGCTTAAGATGGTCTTGTGTGGGCAGGTTTCTCGTCAGGTTGTTTAAATTTCCCTGAGCTGAAGGGCTCTGAGGCATCTCTTGACAGCATTGATTAGACCCCTGTAAGGACTTGCAAAGATCAGAATTCCTGTGAGTTGAATCCTACCCATTTTGTTTTTAGCAATGGATTGTAACTACTGCCACCAAAAAGGAGAGGTTCCCTGTGCTTTCTTTCTTACATACATCTTTATAACATGAACAAGAAAACAAGCAGTGCAGCACTTTTTTTGAGGCACTGAGCACCGGCAGATGAAAAATACAATTAATTTTAGGGAATGAAAGGTGTGGATTGATTCACTGGAAAAGGCTAAGGTTCCTTTCTTCACAGATTAAAAGTGACATTTTTCATTTTGGGTGTTCAGTTGCGATTTCTGGTGGGATTGTCTGTGTTTCCAAGGTAAATGTGCCATCAGGAAAAACAGTAACCCAAACCTCATAACTTTTGTATTCCATAACCCTAGATTTGGCTTGACAGCTGTGTGCTTGTATTGACATCCCTGGGTATCAGAGTGCTCATTCTTGCACACGGGAGGTAAAACATCCAATGTCAAACCTATTTCCATCCTAGTTCAAGAAGGTCTTTAAGCAGAGGTAAAGCTGTAGGGCACACCTGGGCAGAAATGTGGGGCCAAAGATCACCCAAGGTCTTCAGGTGCTTTTGGTTTTGTGCCAGATTCAGAAAGCTGGGGCAATTATTCACATTCCACTGCCTTTTACATCTTGGCAGAACTCCTGTTAAATTCAGGGGAGGGAGGAGATGGGACAAGTGTTCTGATGGCTGAGTGAATGCACCATTGCAGGAGAGCTGGAGTGAGAGGCTGGGCAGTGCAGCCAAAGTCTTCATCTCCCAAGTCCAACAGGTAGGTGTTGTTTCCCTTTGTTTTAACAATGTCTAATCTGTCTCAGCCCACTGTGTGCTCTGCAAAGAGAGCAGTACCTGGGGAGGGTGATTCATCATCCTCTCTCAGGCAGTTAAAATGAAATATCATCTCTCCACTGACTTTAGATGAAGCCCAGGTGAGGAGCTGTAGCTATAGACTGAAAGTAGTGCTGATATTAAGGGAGATGAATCCCTCCAGTACACACCTGAGAGGAGATCTCCACTCCATGTGACATATTTATGTATCTATTGTGTATGTGTGAACTAAACTGAGCTATTTTCCACTAGTATTTTCATCCCAGACTTCATTCCCATGAGGTTCATGGCTGAAAAGCACTGGGGATCCTTGCAGCAGTCGCTCATAGAGCTGTAGACTTGCTCTCTTACCTGAAAAGACTGCAGGAAGGAATTGAAATAGATGAAAACGATCTGGGAAATGTCATCTTCGCCAGGGTTGACAAAGAAAAGCATGTAGGTGATGCCCAGCAGAGGCAGGAGGACTAACGTGGCCTTGACTGCCTTCCTGTGGGCAGGAAACAACACAGCAGTGAACAAAAGGAAGGACAAGTGTGGTGGGGTGGGAAGGAGGAGCATGGAAAGAGTGACAGCCCCCCCTTTATGACCAGTGCCCTTGGAGAAACTGTGTTCTGGGAAAGCCTTTGCCTTTGAATCCTGCTGTTTGTGCCCATACTCTGAACCCCAGGGGATGAATGGGAACATCATTTATATCCCTCCCTTCCTCCCTCTTTTTCCTTCAGCTCCTCTCCTACCAGTAAGTCTTGCAAATGGCTGAAGTCTGGAGATTCTCTGCAGGTTTGTTGAGTGATTTCTTACACCTCAGGGTGATATTATCAGTGCACAATTTAGCTGCTGGCCCGGGCAGGAATGCTGTGCCCAACAGAACTGCTCTACTCCCACTGTTTGATTCTGTTTGGAGTGTAGACTCTCTCTCTCTCTCTCTCTCTCTCTCTCTCTCTCTCTCTCTCTCTCTCTGAAACACCTGCACACTAAACTCAGCTGCTTAGGGCTGTCTTAGAAATGACAAACAACCAGGTGGTGCACAGTGAAGCATAAATGATTATTAACAGAATTATTAGGGGCTAATCCTTATTATTGGTACTAGAATAGTGTCTTGGGGTGCCAGCTGAGAACAGCTGTAATAGATTCTGTACAAGCACAAAGACTGCAACTTTGCCAAGTCTCCATAAATCTCTTTATAGTGCCACAGCAGGTAGATAAAGACAGGCAGGAGAGCGCAGAAACACTGCCAGTGTCACAACAGAGTGACAGTCTAAAAGTAGCTGCCACATTGTTTAATATCTGCTTCACAAATGTTTGGCTTCAGAGCACCAAGGCTTGCCCCAGGCTTTGCTGGAATTCTAAGGGTTTCTATTTAGGCTGTGAGAAATACAATTCCCTCACAGAGCCTGGAGTGAGGATAAGATCTCTGTCATCTGATTGAGAGCAAAGGCAGTTGCTTTAGATTGCCTTGGATTCTAGTATTCCTAATGCTCCCTGAAAACTGCAGAGGGGATAAAAATATACTGATATTTGAATCAGGGCTTTTTCAGGCTAGTTTTAATTTTATGGCATGAAGTCTGAGCAGGAAAATGGGGCACTTTTCCCTTCATTTCTCAGGTAATGCTCAGAGAAGGGTCTGAACAAGAACATCAGACCAATTGCACTAACTTCCCCTTTGTCCCAAAAACCCAGATTGCAGTAAAAGGAAGGAATCAGACAACAAAAACCCATTACTGCAGCAAAACTGCCTCCCAAGTCAAGAGCAGACTGATTGGAGGACATCAAGATTCCACTCAGCTCGATACACTGAGATTTTATCCAGAAATGAGTTAGAGGATTGTGAGCAATCTCATACACAAAACCTGTGCTATCTCCCAGCGTAAGGACCTGCCTGTCCATAAACGCTCCAAACACCTTCCAGGATACTGCAGATGGTAAGAAAAGGGTGCTCAGCATCTCTTGGTCTCTGAGAATTTGCTTTTCAGCAAATCAGGCTGATCTCAGCCCACACAGGTGCCTGAAAGGGCCAGGCCACCTTCCTTCTGCTGCCCTGGGCTAAACATTCCTGCCTTCTCCCTTCTGCCTTACCAGTGCTTGTGAGGTTGCACAGTCAGCCAGTTATGGGAGCTGATTTACCTGAGAATTCCCCCCCAGATTAAGGTAATGATTAATTGAGGATCGGGTCTGTGATTCCCACCCCCTACACTTTAAAAAGAGCATTAGATGCCTGTATGCACAAACTAACCTTAAAATCACAGAATCCTAGAATGGTTTGGTTGGAAGGGAACTTGACCATCTCGTTCCAACCCCCCTGCCATGGCAAGGGACACCTTCCACTATCCCAGATTGCTCCAAGTCTTGTCCAAGCTGGACTCGGACACTTCCAGGGATGGGGCAACCTGTGCCAGGGCCTCACCACCCTCATAGGAAAGAATTTCTTCCTAATACTCAGTCTAAACCCACTCTCTTTCAGTTTGAAGCCATTCCCCCTTGTCCTGTCACTACATGCAAAGGGTAAGGAAAGGGTGCTCAGCATCTCTTGGTCTTCGAGAATTTGCTTTTAGACTGTTTAGGCTGATAGTAAATAAATAATCTCTCTCCATCTTTATTCTGGCCTCCCTTCAGGTACTGGAAGGCCACAGTTAGGTTACCCTAAAGCCTTCTCCAGGCTGAACAATCCCAGTTTTCTTAGCCTTCCTGATAGGAGAGGGACTCCATGGCTCTAATCATCTCGGTGCCTCCTCTGGACTCGCTCCAGCAGGTCCCTGTCCTTCCCATGCTGGGCCCCCAGAGCTGGATTTATTGCTCTTGCTGGTATATGCTTGGGTATATATAGAAATTGATAAAGTTCCTGCCCTCATGTGAGATCAGATCCTTCAGGTTTCGTTGAAAGGGGGGAATTTCACATGCATGTTGGGCCATGTGCAAGTCTGGAGGGGGTAAGAGGGAGGTGGCTGTGGCTGTGCACGTCTCTGTGCCTGTAAACCAAGGCTGTTTGTGTCGACTGGACATTGAAATGGAGTGGACAGAAAAAATGCAGGCAAAATTTTATGGAGAGCCTGCAAAAAATAAACACTGTGTGCCCAATGCATGAGCTCCATCAGCAGTGGCATCTGGGAAGACAAAGATGGGACAAGAACGGGACAAGCAAGGCAGTGCTTTGTTAACACCAGAACAGCAAGAAGCACCAGCTGTCTTACCTGTACTGTATTGTCTCTGAAGTGGTTGAAGCTCTCAGCTTTGTCATCAAAATCCTAACTATGTTAAATAGAAATACAAAATTTATCTGGAAATAAAAGGAAGAGAGAGGAAAAAAATAAGACCAGTGAGTCAAATAATGGCTTAAGGGATGTGATACACCCTAAAAGGCACATTTTACAGTTCCAGTCTTGGTTTTACCATTGATTGCAACAGACTCTGAAGTTTACTAGAAATACCAGATTATACAGAAAACACGCAACAGCTGGTAATGTTTCCAAAACAGCAATGAAAATGGAGTACAAAATTAGAGGTCCTAGCGAGGAACTTATTTCCTTTTCTCCTTTCCTGGGCGCAACGAGGAACTGAGGGTGAGATTTTTGGCTCTTTTGCTGAGCTCATCCAAGGCTCCCTGCGCAGATTGTTGGGCTGCACTGTGCTGTGTTGATCTGGGAGGTGTCTGGACCCATCCTCCCATTCCACAGCAGGCTGTGATGGTGGAGTCGGGCTCCCCAAGTACACGGCTGCACTGCAGAGATCTAAATGCGAGTCAGTCACCACCAGACTCTGTCTGTGTTGGTATACACTGCACTCCACAAGAGACCTTTAAAACAGAGCAGATGAATCATGTCTCTAGAGTGCCTCCTTTTTTGCACTGTCTTTAAAGGTAAAATGATGGATTTACCACTTCCCTCTTTAATCTGCTGAGCTGGGTAATTATTATTTGTGTTACAGCCTCACCACTGAGAACTGAGATTTGCTCTAATTACTGTTGTTGTAGCATCTGTTAGGGAGTTGCTTACATAAGTTTCCTCTCAGTGTAAACAGGAAAGGGAAAAAAAACAAACAAACAACAAACAGAAGAGAAGGTTCTGATTTGTAGACCATGGTCAGTTGAAGGATTTGGCACTTAGGAGCGAGTTTTGAGTTTGCTTTCAAGACATAAAGAAGAGTAGCCTATAACAGTGATCTGTCCCCAAGCTGCCAGTGATGCAGGCTGTCAGAACTCCAGAGCTGTCACCTCAGGACTGCTGAGGTGCCAACCTAAGCTTCTGAGATGGTATTTACCTCACACACACTCCCAGGGTCCCAGGGCTCCTGGCATTTTGCAGCCTATGAATGGGGCTAATCTGTGATTCACTTCCAACTATTTACAAACACTGTGGCAGAGCTGCCAATTTAAAGGTGTTCTCCTTTTTTTTTTTTTTCCCGTGCTACGTGGTGTATTTCAGTGATCAGGGTATCTTGACATCCATCAGACTGTTCCCTGTGGTTCCTGTAACATGTTCTACAACAAATGGTGCAATGAGCACCTGAACAGGCACTGGGAGATTGGCAGCACTGGGAATTGTGTACATTAAACCCTTGCTACATGAGACACAAAAAGGCTGCTCTAGGAGCGAATGTGACATTTTTGGAAATTATTCCCTTAGCAGAGCAGGGCCCAGGGGAGTACAAGGAATAATCAGAACAGTGCAGTTTGTGTATTTGCTCTTGTTAGAATTGGTTTTGTCATATTAAGAGCTTGAAGTCAACTGGCTCACAAAAACAGCTTCATATCCCTGTTTTGACTTGAATCTTAAACTCCTCACGCTGGTGACTGCTCTGTTTCTCAGTAACAGGAAGAGAAATGTTGAGGCAGTCCCTGAAGTGTCCAGGCTCAGGGGGGAGGTGGATGGGGGTGTCTCTCACCCACAGAGAACTTTTGTCTCTGAAATTCTGCTGCTGAGTCTTGAGGTTCTTCATCAGCTCAGAGCCATGCTTGGGTAACTTTTATCAAAGATGCAAAAAAGGCACCAATCAGAAAGTTGCCACTTTGGGAATCGTAATGGAAAGTGCCAGATTGAACTATAGACTCCTAAGCAAGAGCAAGTAAGATTAATCACATGGGATTAACATGATGAACTGGACTGGAGAAGGCATTTCAAGTTTCCTGAGTCCCGCTTTGATGTGACAGCGTCATTCCATTTGAACTGGAAATTCAAATTGCCACAGACTGCATCAGAAAATTAGGGGTTTTGACCTTTTCTGAAATTAAACTGCAGAAGTGTGACTCATCAGACCCGAAGGAGAATTGCCAGCTGAAAGCTTTGGGTGTTACTTCACTAGAAACACTCTTGTTCCTTGTAAATCAGCTTTCCATTCTCCCAGTTCAGCTGCCCAAGCCAAGACCTGAGCAGCACCTGGGGCTCTCCTGCACAGCTGAAGACTGTGGGTGGCACTGGTACCTGTGACAAAGCACTGGTAAGAGACCTCAGCTCTCTACAAAAGCAACAGGAAGGCAAATACATCAGTTCTGACTTTTAACAAGCTGCCCAGGTGTCAGAAGAAACCCTGACAAGGACATTATTTACAATTATATTTTCTAGGAGAAGTGAACAGCAACACTGGCCACTGAAACTGAGTCCTCTTCTTAATTTTTACATTGAATATGCTGCATCTCCTTAGTCACCTGGGCCAGTGGTCAAGCCTGTGGGCCTGAAGGCAGATACTAAAATCCACTTAGGGAGTACAAAGTGATGTCCAGTCTGCATTTCAGAGGGACTGCCCCTCTACTTCTTCCATTAATATTAGTAGTCTTCTTCCACAAGTCTGCCTTTCCCTACAAACCAGAGAACTGGTTTTTTTTTAAAGGTTGGTAAATGGGACAAGTGGAAGTAGAGTATCCTGGGTGGAAGGTACTGGAAAAACAAGACTCCTATATATGCCCAGGAGATGATGGCTGGGACGCAGAGGATCACGAAGTCAGGAGAATCCTGTGGCCTTTTTTTATGCATAAAGTCAAGTCAGAAAAAAAAAATTCACAACCCTTTCTGGCTTTAGAATCTATGAATAACGTATGCAGCTCTTTCAGGGCTTCGTTTTCCACTTTCTCACAAGTGTCCTCTCTGCAGGACAAGACACGGGTCCAGCCTTGCTACACTCACAGCTCCCGGTGTTGGCTTCGTCCCATGGACTTCTTCAGGAAAAGGAGTAACTAATTCTTCCCCTTTCTAGATCATCTACCTAAGAGAGAACACCCAATTGACTTGGCCTTGCCTATGAAGCAATTCCATCACACGGTGAGCATAAGAAGTTGGATTGACATAATTTAATTTTACATTACTTCTAAGCAGCTGGTTATCCCAGGGTCTATTCATATTCAGCGAAGAGAGAGGGGAACTTTTCGACATTGGTTCATTTGGCATGTTCTAAATGAGTGGCCTGCACTTGAACCAGCTGCCCACACAAATCACTCAGTGATCTTCAGGCTGTCTGTGACATCCCACCTGAGCTTCAACTGAGTGAACGTGGCTGTGCCTACCGAGGTTCTGTGACACTGTCGTCTATGAAAGCTTAAAAAATGTTTTGGGGCGCCAACATTTTGTCTCTATTATGGTTTTTCAGACTTGAACAGGATAAGCCCTAATATGCAGAGCTTAGCAGGCAAAAAATTCCAAGGCAAAAGATGAAAATGCGGTCACATCAAAATACTTATTTTTTTGGTTTTGCCTACTAGAAGCACGTTTCACTGTGTTCACTTTAAATGATTTCTTGTTCAAAACCCACTCCATTTCAGAAAAACACTTGGCTCAACAGGGCCTTTTAGTAGCACTCAGAGAGGTCTGATCTCAAGATCAATTTTCACCGCATAATCAGATGGGATTTTAATTGTCCATTTGTCCCCACTGGGCCTGAGAACACAGCTCACTGTGATGATGGCTTGAGTTTGTTCAGGACAGAAGACACAGTCTGGGAACCAAGCAGGGAACAGGCTGCTGCACGCAGCCTGCAGAAGCTGAAGGCTTGGAAATGAAGATGGAGCTATTTTCTCAGCTGGAGAGAATCCATACAGTTCTAGTGACTCCCAGGTTGAGCCTGATTTACAGGCAAAGAAGATAAAGCCTCTGGTGTTTATCTCTCATATGTACAGCAGCATCGCAAAGGAAAAAAAAGATCTTACTACTACAAAGTGAATTTTCCTAGAAAAGACCCTCAGTGCTGTATTGAGCAAAGAACACAATTATTTGTCAAGGACTTGTTATTATTGGAACTCTATGTCAACAGACTAATTTCTTTCAGAGCTGGACAGCTCTAACAAAACCCACACATCAGTTACACAAATGGAGACAGGAAAGGTCATTTAAGAGGAGTAATGATGACAGGCAGTTTATCCTTTCTATTTATCCTTAAGCTGACTTTATATTTTCATTCATTTCTGCTTATAGACGTCTTCTGCTTCATAATGGAAAACAGAATTAAGGATTTTTACCTTGATATTTATTGATGGATAAAACGAATCCAAAGCTGAAGTGTTGAAGACAGAGTAAAATGGCTTATTTCTTCTTCTCTTACTTTTATTTATGCTATGCTAAGAATATCTTTATTGCTGGAATAAGATTCTCCCCAGCTACAGATGGGAAAGAAAGAGGTTTTCATATCTTGCCAGGGGCTTTGGAAGTTTAGTCTTTCCATTTCTAAATTGAGATGAAAATTCAAACCCCCAAAATGGAGTTATAAACCAGTGATCCAAAACCCATTTGGACCATCTGCTTTGGCACTGATCAACCATAACCTGAACACACAAACCCAGAAACTCTTCTGAACCAAAAGAAACTTTTCAGTGAGTGATTTCTGGTCATAAAATTTTTTCTTTCGTAAAACCCAAACTCCATTTGAGAGGAAATTTACCTTCCTTAGCAAGATGAAATTGCCAAAATGCACAAAAGAGGGAACGCTGACTCCAAAGGTTTCTTTGCAGTTCTCCCCAAGCCCAAGAGTTTAAAAGGGAAGTCATTAAGCTCTTCTCTTTTTCTTTGGAGAATTTAATGGACAACTGGCATTTATTTTTCTCATTTTCTGCTGGGCTTTGTATTTTATGCTTCACAGAAAGCTTTTACTTCTGTGCTTCCTAGAATGTTTGTTCCTCTTCACTCCCAGGAATTGTAAAAATTATTCAATTTAGGCTTTGTATTTTTATGGAATGTCGTAAAATCCACCTCAGGATTAAGTAACCCAAATTGGGATCAAAGCAGTCATTTCAGGGGGAGCATTAGATGCTGTCATCCTGCCCTCAGACCAGCAGCCTGGCAGTTTATTAATGCTCTG